AAAGTGGAGATAGTCCTAGATAAATTTGGGATATGGACTGGTGTCTGGAAAGCCAGGGTAATGCCGAGAAGCAAGCCTAAGAATCCAAGCAAGGTGCAGCACTTCCCTCCAACAATCCCCCTGGCAGAGCTGTCCCTAAGGTATGGCGAATCCAGGCAAATGCCCCGGGCCATGTACTTTGGTGGGCCTTGCAGAGCTGGACAGAGCGACCGTAGACCCTCCCATGGGGCCCACCTCGAGCTGGAAGCTCAGCCCCACACCCTGGAAGAAGCATGGAGACCTCTCCCTCACTTTGCAGGGGTACCATGACCCCACACAGTGTTAAGAGGGCCCCGCACAGGCTGATTTGCCCCAGGCCCTGCACACCCCTAGGGTTGGCTCCGCTCCCTAGGTCCACATACGGGCTTTGTATTCTACTAGGGTCAACCCAAACTCTTCTGCTAATGCAGGGAGCAGGGACACCTGGTGGCAAAATGCATGATGAAAATCTGTCATATACAAGGAGAAAGGTCATGAAGCCAAGGACTGTGAACAGGACCGGCACTATAATTTGTATGGGGGGGGGGAAGGAAATGTCTTTAAAGATTCCCCTCAGTCCTTCATAAACAAGGTGAAAAACAGAGAGCAGAGGCAGATTAAGGTGCACTGTGGCCTTGGGCAAGCACAAAATTGGAGGCCCCTTCTCTCCATGGGAGCTGGGCTGCAGGGAGGGAGATGGGCCCCTTCCCCTCTTAGAGGGGGTGGGGGAAGCTGTGTGGACCCCACTGGACTGGGGGGCATATGTCTGCCTCTTCTCGCTGCTCTCGACCCTCACTACAGCCCAATGTGCACATACACAGGCATGTGCACTCTACTGACACTCTTTGCATACAGACACAGACCCACACACACTTTTCCCTCAGAGGACCTCTCCCCTCTGCCACTCTCGATCACATGGAGGCAGCCCTTTGCCCTTCCCCCCCCCTTCCCCCACACTATGAGCAGCCTGTGGCTTAGCATCTCTCCCCGCCCAGCCCCTGTTCCACTGACCTGCAAGGAGCTGCTGCCCAGCTGTCCTGTGCAGCCAGGCAAATGCAGAGGACCTGCTCGGCCGGGCCGGACCAGCGACGCCACTCTGTCTCTGTGGGCAGGCAGCAGCACTGGGAGGGGTAGCTGCGGGGAGAGCTAAAATGAATTTTGGGGGACTGTAGCCCCCAAGGCCCTCCCAGTGCTACCACCCACAAAGACGCAACACAGCAGGGCATTCCAGGCCTGGCCACCCTGCCCCAACTGCCCCCCTCACCCCGCTAGGTGGGGCGCAGCTCTCCCAGCTCAGCATGGCCCCCTCTCCTCCAGATGTGGCACCACCTGGCTCACCTCCTCCCTCAGGCATGGCGCAGCTCTCTCGGCCCAGACCCAGCCCTGCAGGCCCTCCCCACAGCCCCATTGGTGGAAGGGCCCCGCTTCCAGATCCCAGGGAAAGAAATGTGAAAGCCGCAGTTTTAAACCTGGCGCCAACTGCATGTTTGACTTCCCTGCTGATGAGGATCCTCGGGCCAGAGCCTTTAATTGGTAGGGGCCCCTGGGCTCATTCCCAGCTGGCCCATACATTAATCCACCTATGACAAAAGAGGATACTGCCATTAGCTCATTGGCCCGAAACCACCCCTGACCCAGGACCCCCAGGCAACAACAGAAAACGGGGAGGCAGTGGCAGCAGAGGAGGATGCAACAGGGGAGAGTACCCAGTAGAAGAAAGAAAGGAGCCAAAACTGGGTTTTCCCAGCTCCTGGGTCTATCAGTGCTCTCCTGAGTAGCTAAACAAGGAAACAGAAAAGTTGCAAAGGAAGCAGGAGGGAGAGATGGAGAAGATGAACCTAGCCACCCCAGAAAGGAGCCCCCCCCCAAAAAAAAAAAAAAAAACCTCTTTTTGGAAGGGAATCCAGCTCAGAAAGGGAGATCCTGAGGAAACAGGGTAAAATCCACAGACCGATCAGAATGGCTGGGCACAGTAGTAGAAGCACAGGAAGCTCCAGACATCCCCCCAAACCATCCAAATAAAAAAGATCTGGTCCCCCAGGGGGCTCCCCCCTGAGTCAGGGGAAAGTCTGAGCCTGAACAAGGAACCTAAACACACAAAGAAATTAAAAAGGAAAGGCTTCCATTGCCCTCCCTCACTGCATTATGGGTTATGGGGATACGAATTGTCTCTCTGAATGCGAGAAACCTGATAAAGAAAGATGGGACAGGATAGAACAATGCCTAGGCAGCTGCAAGCAGATATTATGCGCCTCCAGGAATGTGGCTTGCCCAACTCTAAAAACTACCCATTGTTTGAAAAAAAAGATGGCCTCATGGCCAGATCATATGGTCTGGATCAAATGATAATAGGGCAGCAGGAGTTCTGATCCTCTTGAGAGGAGACAGTGTACCCCCAACAGCACAGACTTTTTTTTTTTTTTTTTTTTTTTGCAGGCAGACTACTGCAAACCACCTTGGAAACAGAGGGAGGGAAATTTGATCTCCTACACATGTATGCACTGGCTAATAAAGAAGTGAGGTCTGCCAATGGTGATTGCAGAAGATTTCAACTGCGTCATAGATGAGGAAGACAGAAGAGGTAGAGGCCAAAAGACAGCCTGGACAAATACTCCAAGCTGCTGAAACATCTGGTCTGTGACCACAGCCTGGTAGATGTGGGCAAAGGATCCCAAGGACCCAGGGGGAACTTCACTCAGGTAGACCCCCACAGGGCAGACAAAGTCACACAAAGACTTCACCCTCCTTCCCAAGGGGTGGATGGTAGTCAAAGACAAAGCCACGCTGGTCTGCTTCTCAGACCACTGCCTCCTGGCAATGAAAGCAGAGATGGGGCACAATCCAAGAGAGGCAGAGGCATATGGAAGCTGAATGTGAGCTTCCTGTATAACAAAAAAAATAAAAACCAGCAGGAGTTCAGGCAGTGCTATGCAGGGTGGAGGACCCTCAGAGCCAGGCACCAGAATCAAATGGAGGGGTGGGCCAGCATGAAAGAACAAGAGATTTCTTCCAACAAGCTAGCAGGATGTGAGCCTGGATCCAGAGGAGGCAACACAAATGCCTTAACTGCAAGTTGGGATTGTGATGTGAGGGAGGCCATGCAGGAGGTAAAGACCGAGATTAGAGCCTGGTATAGGAAACAGGACAGGAAGAAGATCCTCCTGGCCCAGATCCCCCTGGGTGGAGGAGTGGTCCACTTACTTTAGTAGGTGAAAGAAAATGAATAGGGATTCTACGACCAGCTTGATAGACAGAGATGGTATAAAAAGAAACTGGTCAAACAAAAAGATGCTAGAGACAGCAGAGGCCTTCTACCAGAATCTGTACATGGTATGCCCGGAGAACAAAGAAGCCATGCAAGACTGCCTGCGGGAGCTCACTCAAGTCCTTGGGGGGCGGCAAGGACCAAAAGTTGGTTGAGGAGTAGATGCTGGAGGAGACCACCAAGAGTCTCTACAGCTTCAAGAATAGATGGCTTGTCCAACGAGTTCTATGTAACTTTCTGGGACCGGGTGGGCCCAGACCTTCTGGAGATGTATGGAAAGTGAATGTGGGAGGGCCCCTGGGGGCTGGGATGGATCAGAGCATCATAACCCTTCTTCATAAGAAGGGGGTAAGGGAGGAGTTAAAGTATTGGAGGCCCATAATGCTCCTGAACTTTTACTATAAACTAGTGGCAAAGTCTTGGCCGAACATTTTAAGTCTTTTACATGTGCCATGATGTATGAGGACCAGTCATGCATGATGTTGGGGTGGCATGCACTGTGATACTGCCAGGAGAGGGGGCTGGACATTGCTGTGCCAAATCTTGATTTAGATAAGGTCTTCAAATGAGTGTCCCACTTACTTCTGTTTGAGATGCTGAAGAAGGTAGGGATCCCTCCAACCTTTGTTGCCTGGATAAAGACACCACAAACAGATGTGACCATCAGGGTGCTAGTGAACAGGTGCCTGACCACAATAATCGTGGTAGATTTGGGTGTCCAGCAGGGCTGCCCAGTCTCCTTGCTTCTCTTCATCTGTGCGATGGAACTGCTAGCTCAGCAGCTCAAGTGAGAACCCAGGATCAGTGGAGTGAAGATCCCTAGGGAAAGTAGGGAAGAGATGAGTTCTGGCCTACATGGATGACCACAACTTCATGTGCATGGACAAGTTGGTAGAAAGAGTGCTGCAACACACTCAAGTATATGGAGTGGTGGCAGGGTCCAAACTCAATGTGGGCAAACTTAGACCACGCCATCAGGCCTCAGTCACACGCACATTCACAACGCCCACCTCTCACTCAGGCCTCACACACTCCACCCTCTCTCACAGGGTCTCTGACATGCATCGACAACTTATGCTGCCTTGCTCCCTCTTGGAGCGGGCCCCCTTTGGCCGTAGACTTAGCTAGTCCATTCCTTGGGTGGCAGACATACCATCTGTTGGGCCTCTCCCATGACCCTCAATGCGGTAGAGGCCAGCCAATTACCCGACCGGGTCTAAGTTTTGCCCCAGAAGAGGCTGGAGTAAGTTATGTGTATATAACTGTAATGGGCCCTCAGCCCTCTGGTTCTCCTCCCCCTTCACTCGGGGCTCCACATCGCCCCCTTGACTCAGGGCTATTCATCTCTGCCCCCTTCACTCAGGGCTTCATACCGCCCCCATCACTTGGGGGCGCAGGGCTTCCCTCCCTGGTGGGCTCAGGTGGCCGTAGCCATGCCTAGGCCCCACTCTCCCTCCTTGGGGTCTCATACCCCATAGGGCTCAGGTGGCCACAGCCATGCCTGGCCCCTCTACCTCTGGTGTACCACAACCCACCCAAAGGTGGGACCTGGGGTTAAGGCACCCCAACCCATCTTTCACCGGGGTGGTAACTGTCCTGTCATTTTCTGGGGCCTCCCACACCACTGAGAGCCCCACCAGGCCACCCACTCCCAGCAGGGTGCAGTTTTAGATCATACCCAGGACCAGGAGCCTCCAATCCATCCCCTGCAGCTCCTCCCTTACCTCCATTGTGTTCCAAGAAGCCTTACAGCTAGGCAATGTTGCTGCCTGGCCTGCCAGCAACGAAATGCTCTCTTTATATAGGCAGCCCTGAGTCCAAAATGGCTGCAGCAATCAGGCACCTGCTGGCTGTTTGGCTTAGGCCCTTAAAGTGGCAGACACAACCAGTGTCCTGCCACAGTCCTAGATACAGAACATTGAGTTTGTCTGTATGGAAATGGATATTATTTGACTGTGCTTAAATGATCAACCAATACAATGTCCAGTGACATTTCCTCATTTCTGATTGCTGCCCTATCTGTCACTATGCCATCTGAGATTAGGTGAATGCCAAGGGCATTATTGGAAAAGTGCAAATATAGTGTACATCTTTAAGAAATGGAAAAAGGAGGATCCAGAGAACTACAGACCAGTCAGCCTCACCTCAGTTCCCAGAAAAATAATGGAGCAGGTCCTCAGGGAATCTATTTCTAAGCACTTGGAGGAAAAGAAGGTGATCAGGAACAGTCATCATGGATTCACCAAGGGCAAGTCATGCCTGACCAACCTGATTGCCTTATATGATGAGGTAACTGGCTCTGTGGATGTGGGGAAAGCAGTGGACATGAGATACCTTGCCTTTAGCAAGATTTTTTGTATGGTCTCTCACAGCATTCTTGCAAACAAGCTGAGGAAGTATGGGTTGGATAAATGGACTATCGAAAGCTGCCTGGATCATCAGTCTTAATAAGCAGTGATCAATAGCTCAAGGTGTAGTTGGCAGCCAGTATCAAGTAAAGTGCCCCAGGGGTTGGTCCTGGGATTGGTTTTCTTCAATATCTTCATTAACAATCTGGAAGATGGGATGGAGTGCACTCTCAGCAAGTTCATGGGTGACACCAAGCTGTGGGGTATAGTAGATAACTGGAGGGTAGGACTAGGATTCAGAGTGACCTAGACAAGTTGGAGGATTGGGCCAAAAGAAATCTCATGAGGTTCAACAAGGACAAGTGCAACATCCTGAACTGAGGATATAATAATTCCATGCACTGCTATAGGTTTGGGACCAACTGGCTAATCAGCAGCTCTGCAGAAAAGGACCTGGGGATTACAGTGGACAATAAGCTGGATATGAGTCAACAGTGTGCCCTTGTTACCAAAAGGCTAACAGTTTACTTGGCTGCATTGGTAGGAACACTGTCAGAAGATCAAGGGAAGCAATTATTCTCCTCTATTCTGTACTGGTGAGGCCCCATCTGGAGTACTGCTTCCAGTTTTGGGCCCCCCACTAGAGAAAGAATGTGGACAAATTGAAGAGAGTACAGTAGAGGGTAACAAAAATGGTTGTGGGGGTGGGCCACGTGACTTATAAGGAAATGCTGAGGGAACTGGGTTTATTTAGTCTACAGAAGAGAGGCCTGAGGGGGGACTTGAAAGAAACCTTTAACTACCTGAAGGGGGGGTTCCAAAGAGGATGGAGCTAAACTGTTCTCAGTGGTGGCAGATGACAGAACAAGGAGCAGTGGTCTCAAGTTGCAGCAAGGGAAGTTTAGATTGGATATTAGAAAAAACTCTCTCACTAGGAGAAGTACTGAAATGGGTTACCTAGAGAGGTTATAGAATCTCCATCGTTGGAGGTTTTTAAAGCTGGGCTCAACAAAGCTTTGGCTGGAATGTTCTAATTGGAGATGGACCTGCTTTGAGCAGGGGGGTGGGCTACATGACCTCCTGAGGTCCCTTCCAGCTAATTTTCTGATTCTATAATTCTATTAATACCTGGCTATAGAAGTGGCATACTTGAGGAGGTATAATTAGATGTGTCGGAGTGTGCTTGCTGTCTGGTGGGGCCTTCTTAACAATCAATAAATATTCACATTGCCTGCACCTGAGTGGTGTCTTCTGTTCTCACCCACCATGACTTAGGTTGTACCTATTTTCAGTGGAAAGCTTCCCATGGCTTAAAATGGGCAGGTGAGGCTGATGAGTGTCTTCCCAGGGCTCCTACCTCCCCTTATACCCCCTTCTTTTACCAACCAGATGTTTCAAGCATAAGCAAAATGAAATCTTCACAAATAGACTCAAGGGTCCCTTTTTACACTTTTGAGGGTCAAATGTTCTCAATAATCAGGCCCATTCCAAAGTACTGTATTTTCTTGCATATAGCCCGCACACCGATAGAACCCGCACCAATGCATAACCCACAGAAAATTGTATTTTTGGAAAATAGTCCATGTATAGACTGCACCCATGTATTCCCCGCACCTGATAGTCAGAGCGATTTTAAGCGTAAGGAGTGCAGAGTGCATAATTTATGTCCTGCAGACATAATTATCATGGACGAAGTACCGATTTCGTTCGGTGTCTCAGCAACTTGTACAGTTGATCAACATGGTAAAAAGATGATTGCAATATCAACAACAGGCCATGAACAAACAAATGTCACCGTTGTGCTAGCGTGCACCGAGTGGTGTAAAGTTAAAACCAATGATTATTTTCAAACGGGTAATGATGCCCCGAGAAAAGATCCCAAATGGAGTTGCAGTTATTTGCAATAAGAAAGGGTGGATGAACGAGGATATAATGAAAGAATGGACAGAACGCTGTTTTCAAACATGGCAAGGTGGGTTTTTCGCATCTAAATCTTTGCTGATTTTTGATGCGATGGCAGTGAATAAGCACTCTAGTGTTCAGAAACAAATAAAGCTGGAGCGCATATTATACTATTCAAACAATTATTAATGCACGTCACGGCGGGGTCCTCACGGAGGGCCGTGTGCTCCTTAAGGTCCCTCGCTCCGTGTCAGGCCGGACCAAGGCACCCTCTAATTCTCGC